CATTTTGGTTTTATATGCCCAACTTCTCCACACCCATAGCATTTGGGTGGACTTCCTTGCTTCTTTCCTTTCCGTTCATACTCTTGGCTCATGAACTTATGGAATTTCTTGAGCACGATCCCGAACTCGTCTTTGTCACTCGAGTCCTCCACATCACGTTCTTGACTTGTGGACGCCTTGAGTGCAATCCCATTCTTCTTTTGTTCACCTAAAGAGGGGTAAAGAATGGTAGACTCATAGGTTTTGAGGTCACCTCTAAGCCCGTCAATGGTGACACTGGTGATGCTGATAGATTCTTGGATAGCATCGGCTTTGGAGCGCCATTCCGGTGTGAGACTCCGCAGGATTTTTCTTACAAGCTCCTTGTCCGTGTATGTCTTCTTGAGAGCATGAAGATCATTTAAGATTTTTGAAAATCGTTCAAACATATCGTCGATTTTCTCATTCTCCTTCATATGAAATAGTTCATACTCATGGGTTAGAAAATCTATCTTAGCTTCTCGGACTTGATCCGTACCTTCATATGCGATTTCTAGCTTATCCCACATTTCCTTGGCGGTGGAACAACAAGAGATCTTCCGGTAGTCATCCGGGTTTACTGCACAATAAAGAATGTTGATAGCCTTGGCGTTGTTCTCTATTTTCTTGATATCCTGCGCATCGTATTCGTCTTCGGTTTTGGGAACGGTGGTTTCCCCAACTTTCTTCATGGGTACTTCTTCCCCATTCTTGATAATTCTCCATAGGAGAAAGTTGTTGGATTGGATAAAAATTCTCATTCGCTCTTTCCAATATGTGTAATTTGTTCCATCAAATAATGGAGGCCTCGTGGTGGATTGCCCTTCTCCTAAACCTGCGTATAAGTTTTGAGTAGAAGCCATTGATCGTTTCTCTCAAACGGTTAAGTCTTTTAGAGAGTAAGGCCCTGATACCAATTGTTAGAATAAAGGCCCAACGCTAGAGGGGGGGGTGAATAGCGTTTAAAACAAAATCGCAGGAAATTAAAACGAGAGCGTTAAAGTAAAGAGCGTAAGGAAGGAACACACCGAATTTTATTCTGGTTCACCACAACGTGTGGCTAATCCAGCCTCCCGAGAGACTCTCTCGAGCTACACTAACTCCGTTAACCTTAAGGGTGCTTAACAAACCGATACAATTTGAGAACCCGTGTCACACGAGCCTCAACACCTTTGCTCGGAGATACCGCACTCCAAGACTTCTCACGAAGGAACAAGGAACTTCCTTCGAGTTTACAACAAGGGAACAACCTCTCTTAAAGTGCATGAAAACACTTAAACACTCAGGAATAAAACTCTCACAAAGAGTAGATATGAGTGAACTAGAAAACGCTCAAGAACACGACAATTTCTTCAAGAATTGGCTCTCAAATAGCTAAGAAAAGATAGGAATGCTTATGCAATGAAAGAGTATTGAAATGTTGAAGAATTGTGTGTAGGATGAAGACAAATTTTTCAGGGACACAGGCTGATAGTCGATTATCCAAGCTTGATAATCGATTATCAAAAGATTCCTTGTCCAAAAATTTAAAATTCTATCCGTTGGAGGACAACGGTAACCCCGATAATCGATTGTCACCAAGTGGTAATCGATTATTGGTCCTCTCAGAAAATTCTGGGTTTTGGCTGCAAAGACTGATAATCGATTATTGCGTGCTTCAGAACTTTGGAAGTTCAAACCTGCAGGGGCTGATAATCGATTGTCACAAAGGTGATAATCGATTATCACCGAGCTAAAGTCTAGCCAGCTGAAACCCGTTTTGAAAAACCGAGGTCCAAAAACGAAGTGTTCCCAAAAGTAAAAACCAGGTTTGAAAAATATTGTATATGGTATAAAATAGTGAAAATAAGACTTGTTTGGTAAAAACCAAGTCTCCAAGGTCGTACAATACGTGCGTATGGTTTTGACCGTTTTTCACGTGTTAGACCGATTGACCAAGATACAAAAGTGGTTTTATATAATAATTATTTGGGAACATTTTAAAAATGCTCAGAGGTAAAAACAGTGTTTAAAATATTGAAAACCACGGAGTTGGTTCGGGCGCCAAAAGCCGAACGCCGACTTAGGTGGTTTCGGTTCCGAGCAAGGACCATAGATTTTAATAAAAGAAATCATCAAAAATGTTTGTTGATGCACAAAAAATATTTTATGATTTGTAAAAATGGTTTTGACTTTTTGAGAACCGAGACTTGAATTTATTGTCGGTTTTGATCACAAAAGACCGACTCGACTAAGTCTTCAATTCTTGATCTTGTCCTTGAGTCTTTTTGGTCTTGTTCCAAGCCATTCTTCACGCCTTGAGTTATTCAACGAAACTCTTTATATCCACGGCGGTTTTGCAATTATCAAAACCTGTTAGAAATTAACACGACTTTAGTTTATCGTACAAAGTGTGTTCCAACAGAGTGGATAGGCGTTTCTTTAATGATTTGTTGATTTTAGAAGCGCTAAAAAATTCATCATAAAGTTCATGAAGTGCTTCTTGCAGTTCTTCAAAAGTGTAAGAGTCGGAAGAAATGTTACATACCTCTTGTACATCGTCGGTTTGGTCTTCGTGTTCCATGAGACAAAGGTTGGCGGATTCATCCTCTTCTTGGTCGGTTGACTCGTCGCCGGAGTCGCCACCCCACGATATATATGCTTTTTGCTTTTTGAAGTGACGAGCATTCCTTCCGCTTCTTGGGCATTTGTTTTTGATGTGCCCGGCTTCACCACATCCATAGCACACAGGACCATCCTCAACCTTCTCTTTCTTCCTTAGAAGTTTACAAAACTTCTTCATGACCAGCTTGACTTCATAGATGGCATCAGCCTTGAATCGCCATTCGGATGTCAAGCTCCGTAGGATCTTTCGTACAAGATCTCTGTCGGTGTACGTCTTCTTCAATGCATGGAGATCGTTGACTATCTTGGAAAATCGGTCGAACATGTCGTCAATCTTCTCGTGCTCCTTCATCCTAAACATCTCATACTCTTGGGTTAGAAAGTCGATCTTGGCTTCACGTACTTGGTCTGTTCCTTCGTACGTCACCTCAAGTTTATCTCACATCTCCTTGGCGGTTGAGCAGCAGGAGATTTTGCGGTAGTCATCAGGGTTTACGGCACAATAAAGCATGTTTATTGCCTTTGCATAATTCTTGACCTTTTTGATGTCCTCGGCATCAAATTCATCTTCGGTCTTGAGGATCAACTTGTCTCCGACTTTCTTCATGGGCACCTCTTCCCCATTTTTGATAACCAACCATAATTGGAAGTTTGTGGAACGAATATAGATTCTCATTTGTTCTTTCCAATATGTATAATTGGTTCCATCAAAAAGAGGTGGCCGTGTGGTTGATTGCCCTTCACCTATTCCTGCATACAGATTTCTAGAAGAAGAACCCATGATCGCTTTAAGTTACTCTCAAACAGTTACGTTTGGACGCGAGTTAGGCTTTGATACCAATTGTTAGAATAAGTGACCAACGCTAGAGGGGGGGTGATCAATGCTAGAGGCGGGGTGAATATCATTTGATCGTAGAAATCGCAGGAATAAAAAATTAAGAACGTGAAAAGTAAAGAGCATAGAAAAAGTAAAGGGAGCACACCAAGATTTATACTGGTTCACCACAACGTGTGGCTAATCCAGTCTCCCGAGAGACTCTCTCGAGCTACACTACTTCCGTTAAGCTTACGGGTGCTTAACAAACCGTTACAACTTGAGAACTCGAGTCCCACGAGCCTCAACAACACTTGCTCGGAGATACCACACTCCAAGACTTCAACCCGAAGGAAAAACACCTTTCCTTCGTACAACCAAGGGAAACAAACTTCCCTTAACGTCTATAAACACTAAGAACACTCAAGAACAAGGCTCTCTCAAAAGAGTGAATATGAGTAAAGTAATACGCTCAAGATCACAACACGAACTTCACAAAAATGGCTCTCGAAAAGCTATGAATAATGTGAAGTAATGTGATATGTAAAGCAGACCCAAACACCCCATTTTATAGTGGAAAAATAGGCTCCAACGGATCAAAACATTTAAGGGGTGATTGGCTTGATTTGTGGGATTTGATTGAAATTGGATGTGCTGAAAATCATCGAGACAGCGCTGTCCATGGCTTGGACATCGCTGTTCTAGGCTTAGGTTTTGAAAAATGGGAAGCAACGGTCAAGCCAACAGCAATGTCCAAACCCTCTACATCGCTGTTTTGGCTGTTGACTTCCAAACAAGGAAAGTTTTAGCCATAAATTCCTTCCAACGGTCAGGTGCCTACATCGATGTTCATTACTTGAACATCGCTGTTCAGGCCTGACTTTGAAGGTTGAGGAATTGGCCTGACATCGTTGTTGCTGGGTCAACAGCGCTGTCCAAAAACTTTCTGCCAAGGCATTTATTTTTTTGGCTTAGGTTGGACAGCGATGTAGGGAGGTCTACATCGCTGTTCGAGATGTTTCTGGAAACCCAACCTTGGCTTCAACAGCGATGTCTAAACACCAACACCGCTGTTGGAAGACTTAACGCCAAACCATGGTTCTCGGCTACTCATGCCAGACAGCGCTGTTGGGTACGCCAACATCGTTGTTGGGCTGGTTTAGCCAGACCCATGGTTGGTTTAGTCATGCCGTTAGCCGATGTCAAAAATGTAAGTTCTCCAAAATAGAAACCAAGTATAGAAAATATTTGTTTAATGGATTTTGCTAAGAAATCAAGTAAAACATCTTAAAAACCACGTCATTTAGATAAAAACCACGGCTAGCCAAGTTTGCGCAGTTTCGCATGGTTTTCACTAAACGACCAAAAACGAAAGGTGGTTTTTGAAGCGTTTTTGTTGGAGAACTATTTAAATATGCCCAGAAGTAAAAACAAATCATAAAATGTTGAAAACCACTTGGTTGGTTTGGACGCCAAAAACCAACGCCGATAACCGAATGCCGAACGCCGGTTTCTGAAAGCCGAACGCCGGATGGCTTGGTTTTTGGTTTGGGCGAACACCAAGCGTTTTAGACTTGTTTAAAACTTTTGAAAAACATTTTTGAATATGCAAAAGAGTATTTTAATGGAGTAGCCTAGAGAGCCAAGTTTTGAAGTTTGTGCCGGTCTTGATCACATTAAGACCGACTCAATAAATTCTAAGTCTTCGTTCTTGGTTCTTGGTTATCAATTCGTCATGCCATGTTCCTTCGCCTTTGATCTACTCAGTTTCGTGTTGTTTACACGGCGGTTTGGCATTATCAAAACCTGTCATAAAACGAACACGGTTTAGTACGACATAGGCGTAAACCCGTGTTCTAACATTTTCTTGTCAATTTTGTATACTTTAACCTTAATATATAGAACAAACATTGTCTTTCGATAGAAATGCATTACCAATAACTTCTTTTTGAAACTAAGGAATCTCTTAATTTTGGTTGTTCCTATTTTGGAGATAAAAAAATATGGATTTTTATTTTGATATTTTCTTCATGTTCATTCCTATTCTAGTACAGAGTATTTTTTTCCAAAAAATTATAGCGACAATATACATAAGACATATACTCTGTATATAGAAACAAATGAATTTTCCTATTTCATAATTAAATTTATTCAAAGATTTCATACCATAAGAATAATTTCATATTTTATATGTCCTAAATTAGGTGAAATATTAGATGTCAAAAAAATGCAAATTTTTTATAGGTGACAAAATATTTTATTTATTAGGTGTCAATATTTAAATAAATATTATCAAACTAACTTCATTTATTTAGATGTATAATAAAGAAATATAAAATTTATTTATAGGTGAAGAGAATATATTTTTTCTTATTAAAATGTTTTGTAATAAACAAAGAGAAAAAAGTATAGAACAACATATTATCATAAAAAGAAAGATTTTTTTTCATTTTTAAGTTTACTCAAATATTTTTTATCCAATTTTCAATTTTATAAGTGGTGGCCCCAAAGTGGTGAGATACAAAGTCTAGAGGGGGGGTGAATAGACTTTGTTACAAATTAAAAACTTTTTCGTTTCTTTTGAAAACGTGAAAATGAGTGTTTAATCTAGAGTTCTTGTGAACCTTAGATTGTGTGCGGAATTTGGTGGGTAATTGAGCAGTAATCAATTTAGATGAGTTAGTTTTCATAGTTAATATAATTGCAAGTATAAGTAAAGATAAAAGAGAGAGACACGCAAACTTTAACGAGGTTCAAAGGTGGGGTAATCCTTCTACGTCCTCAAAATCCACTATGTAGTTGGTTGTTGAATAATGAACCAACAATTACACTTGTGTGAATTTCTGCACGGAGTATCTTCGCAAGGCCAATGTTGCTACTGCACTCGTGCTGGCTTTGTTGTTCCTTCGAAGGTCAAATTTCTTCAACAACTGCAAGATCCAAACAATAGGACTTGCAAGATCAACTTGTAGGAAAGTTGATGTACCCCCTTTTTAATCAAGAAGTTTGATTAAAAGTTGTATCCTTCAACGTGGTGTGGTACTTGAGGCAAGGAAACCTTCAAATGTTTACACTATAGCTCTTTGGAAGGAGGAGAAGTTTGCTTCTGGATAAGGAGTTTAGAAATCTCTCTTTATCAAGCTTTTTGGCTAACTGTGAATGAGATAGCTTTGTTGTTGGAGATTGCTTAGTTGAGTTCTGTGCTTTCTATCTCATGTATTTCTCCAGTCTTCCAAGGATGCTATTTATAGCTGGATTAGGTAATCTATCCGTTGAATCAAAATAGACTATCTGTTGCATTTGCTGGCTTCAATTTGAATGAAGATTGTGATTGAGGATTCCTCATTGGAATGGGTGTTTGGACATACCCAATTGTTTGAGGAGGGATTCCTTTTTCCACAGAATCCGTCTTCTAGCTTTTGTTCAAGAATTCTCGACTCTAGCTCTTTATTGAGTGGAGTACTCAGTTTTAGAAAATAGGCCCAACGCTAGAGGGGGGTGGGGGGTGGGGGTGAATAGTGTTTAAAACAAAATCGTGGGAAATTAAAACGAGAGCGTTAAAGTAAAGAGCGTAAGGAAGGAGCACACTGAATTTTATCCTCGTTCACCACAACGTGTGGCTAATCCAGCCTCCCGAGAGACTCTCTCGAGCTACACTAACTCCGTTAAGCTTAAGGGTGCTTAACAAACCGATACAACTTGAGAATCCGAGTCACACGAGCCTCAACGCCTTTGCTCGGAGATACCGCACTCCAAGACTTCTCACGAAGGAACAAAGAACTTCCTTCGTGTTTACAACAAGGGAACAACCTCCCTTAAAGTGTATGAAAACACTTAAGCATCAGGAATAAAACTCTCACAAAGAGTAGATATGAGTGAACTAGTAAACGCTCAAGAACACGACAATTTCTTCAAAAATTGGCTCTCAAATAGCTAAGAAAAGATAGGAATGCTTATGCAATGAAAGAGTATTGAAATGTTGAAGAATTGTGTGTAAAATGAGAGGATTTGGGTGCCATTTTATAGCTCAAAATGGGATAAACCCGTTGCTAGAGTTTCCAACAGGATGAAGACAAATTTTTCAGAGACACAGGCTGATAGTCGATTATCCAAGCTTGATAATCGATTATCAAAAGATTCTTTGTCCAAAAATTTAAAATTCTATCCGTTGGAGGACAACGGTAACCTAGATAATCGATTGTCAACAAGTGATAATCGATTATTGGTCCTCTTAGAAGATTCTGGGTTTTGGCTGCAAAGACTGATAATCGATTATTACATAAGTGATAATCGACTATTGCGTGCTTCAGAACTTTGGAAGTTCAAAGCTGCAAGGGCTGATAGTCGATTGTCACTAAGGTGAGAATCGATTATCACCCAGCTAAAGTCTACCCAGCTGAAACCCGTTTTGAAAAACCGAGGTCCAAAAACGAAGTGTTCCCAAAAGTAAAAACCAAGTTTGAAAAACATTGTATATGACATAAAATAGTGAAAACAAGACTTGTTCGGTAAAAAACCAAGTCTCCAAGGTCGTACATCACGTGCGTACGGTTTTGACCGATTTTCACGTGTTAGACCGATTGACCAAGATACAAAAGTGGTTTTTATAAAATAATTATTTGGGAACATTTTAAAAATGCTCAGACGTAAAAACAGGGTTTAAAATATTAAAAACCACGGAGTTGGTTCGGGCGCCAAAAACCGAACGCCGAAAGCCGACTTAGGTGGTTTAGGTTCCAAGCAAGGACCAGAGATTTTAATCAATAAATAAAAAAAAATCATCAGAAATATTTATTTTGATGCACAAAAAAATATTTTATGATTTGTAAAAATTGTTTTTGTTAGCCTTGGTTTGCTAAGTCTCATGTTTTGATGTTAACAAACAATATAAGAGCTTAACGTTTGTTTAAGTGTTTCAGGAAAACAAGAATCCATTAAGATTCGGTACTCAAGAATGAAGTCGAAACACTAAACTAGCGTAGAAAATAGGTAGAAACCAATGTAAGGATATGACTTTATATACCTATATTCACAAGCTCAAAAGCACTCACAAAATATGTTTAAAACCATCACATAAACATTTTCAAATATCTAAAAGGTTTTAAACTCAAACACGAAGGATTAAGGGAATTTTGGAAAAATCAGAACAGAGTCACGGTACCCCTAGCGGTACGCCACACGGTAGGGTATACCGCCTACACGGTACCCCCATACCGTGTAACGGTACCTAGGTACCGACGGTAGGCGTAGACGGTTGGCCGAACCCGTCCTAACCAGGTACCGCCAGAGGCGAACCGAACTTTTGGAAGACACGGTACCCCCAAACGGTAGGCTATACCGTGGTCACGGTACCTAGGTACCGGACGGTACAGACCCTACCGTGAAGGGTACCGGATCCGTTGTAATCACTGTAGCAAATTGCCAATTTAAATTCTAATCACCCCTAATCACCTCCCAANATAGGTAGAAACCAATGTAAGGATATGACTTTATATACCTATATTCACAAGCTCAAAAGCACTCACAAAATATGTTTAAAACCATCACATAAACATTTTCAAATATCTAAAAGGTTTTAAACTCAAACACGAAGGATTAAGGGAATTTTGGAAAAATCAGAACAGAGTCACGGTACCCCTAGCGGTACGCCACACGGTAGGGTATACCGCCTACACGGTACCCCCATACCGTGTAACGGTACCTAGGTACCGATGGTAAGCGTAGACGGTTGGCCGAACCCGTCCTAACCAGGTACCGCCAGAGGCAAACCGAACTTTTGGAAGACACGGTACCCCCAAACGGTAGGCTATACCGTGTCACGGTACCTAGGTACCGGATGACACGGACCCCCCTACCGTGAAGGGTACCAGATCCGTTACAGCACTGTAGCAAAATTGCCAATTTGAATTAAATCAACCCTAATCACCTCCCAACGGCTAATTAACATCTTCCACTATAAATACATGCCTAATCCTTCATATTTATTCAAGAAACAAAGCTCTAAAATCCTCCCTTTATATTCTAAGTGTGTTCATTCTTTTATTAATTATTTTCAATATTTTGGCTATTTCAAGAGCTTTAAATTCCTGATTTTTATACACACACTTTGAGCTTGTGTTTCTAGTTATATACTCTCATATTCATAAGTTTGAATTGTATTTTTGAGAGAGTATACTTTCTTTCTACACCGGCTAAGTTTTGTTCTTCATTTTTATATTCTAGCCGTTGTGTAGAATCTTCTTTTGAGTTTTTCAAACACTTCTTTATACGGTCGAGAATAGCCGTTAAATTCTCATATTGTATCGGTCGAGGATAGCCGTATAAATCCTTGGGTAAAGGTTCAAGGATAGCCTTTGAAATCCTTGGGGGAACGGTAGAAGATAGCCGTTAAATCTTCGTTGTAAACGGTTCGAGATAGCCGTGGTGAAATCTCGGAGTGAATCCTATTGGCAAGGGTTGTTTGCCAAACTAGTGCGATGCTTTGATGGAGTTCAAGAGACCGGGACTTAGTGGATTCGGAAATCCTTGAGGAGGAGCCTCGAGGTACTGGAGTAGGGAGTTCCCGAACCAGTATAAAATCGGTGTGCATTTTATTTACGCTTTTATTTCGGCGTTTTATATATTGCTTCCGCATTTGCCAACACCGTTTTTATTAAACTTCGAAAAGATTTTAAAACGCCTTATTCACCCCCCCCCTCTAAGGCGTGGGCACAACGACTAAACCGACTAACAGTTTTGACTCTTTGAGAACCGAGACTTGAATTTATTGTCGGTTTTGATCACAAATGACCGACTCGACTAAGTCTTCAATTCTTGATCTTGTCCTTGAGTCTTTTTGGTCTTGTTCCAAGCCATTCTTCACGCTTTGAGTTATTCAACGAAACTCTTCATATCCACGGTGGTTTGGCAATTATCAAAACCTATCAGAAATAAACACGACTTTAATTTATCGTACAAAGTGTGTTCCAACACTCAGTTTGTCTTCTAGTGTTTGTTTAGGAATTCTGGGCGAGCTCTTCAATTTGAGAGGTCCGGACTTTGTCTTTAAGTCATTTGTTCTTGAATCAGAATTATTTTCTTCAATCTAGCCGTTGAAAATCAAGAGATTGATTTTTCCTTACCAACGGATAGAACTTCTTCATTCAAGACTTAGAATTTAACTAAGTCTTTTTCTCACTTGTCCGCTTCTGAGAATTCCGGTTTTTCTTGAGGCATCCGGTTCTTTGCTGACGAATCCGGAAAGGTCATTTACAGACTTTCGGGTGAGAAAGAAATCTGCGCTAGTCTTCCGATTTGGATGACTTAGCCTTCATCGGTTTGAAGCGAGACATCCGGTTATCATGTAGTATTCCGGAATAGAGGATCTTCAAAGTAATCAAATGCTTTGAGAATTCCTTACTTGTCTCTGACATATCCGATCAAGATATCCAATTTCCATATCACTGAATTTGATTAAGTCGCCAAACATTGACATCAAACCACAGAGTGAAATATCACAACTCAATTGGAAATCTCAAGAACTCGATTTTAACAATATTTCTAAAAAGAAAAATTACATTGAATATTGGGGGAGACCTAAAGTCCCTATTACAATCTAAATACATCATCATCAAAATCTATAATATTTTTCCTAACAATAAGGAAAATTAAGTGGTGTGTTAAGTGTTAAAAAAGGCCACATAAGCATGCCACATGTCAAGTTCTAAGAGACTCAACTCTCCTTTTTTATATATAAAGATAAAGAATATAGGATAGGATAGGATATATATAGGATAGGATATGATTTTTTTTGAAAGGGCCTACTTCTTTTATACAACAAATGACTAAGAGCTTGTTTTTTAGGGCCTAAACTCTTAACTTCTAGTTTTGTCTAGTTTTTTTTAGTTTTTTTTATAGTTTTTCCAGTTCCTTTCAGTTTCTTCTAGTTACTTCCAGTTTTTTTCAGTTTCTTTCAGTTCTTTTTGTTCTATATCTTTATTCTAAAAATAGGAGTTACAATGAAAATAAAATCTCAATCATGAAAGAAAAAATATGTTTAATTACATTGTGTGATATGTCTGATATTTAAAACAAAATCTTGTAATATATAAAATTTGTTCAGTTGTTTCTAGTTATTTTCCAATTCTTCTAATATCCTACTCTTTGTTTGGGTTAATCCATAATGGTGAACCCTTAGGTTAGTCAAGAATTTGGCCGCAGCTTTGTTTCCCGCCAAAAGGACGATAAGGAGAATGAAGTGTCGGGGTTTCCCTGCTTGAGGCCTTGAGCAAGTCAGGAAGGGCAGCATCCGTCCTCTAAGAAATGGCATCTTCTTCATGCGCCGATAATCTTCTGCAGGAAACATCCACGGCCGACACATCAGAAAACCACCTCCAGGTACCACCTATAATATCAATTGCCAGTGATCTTCTTCAATTTTAAATGTACCCGTAAGAATTGGATTCCTATTTCGGGTATAAATCATCTCTCTATTTTTCTGCAATGAAAAATCAACATAGCCATTCTATGTTCTCCACAAAGCTTCGAAGTCTCTAAGTTATGGGAAATCAACTCGGAGGAAAAGGAAGACCAAATCCGCAACTGATGAATGTCAAACGGACTCAGATATCCGCCTAAAAATGGATGCTTTTCGTTATGTGTGGTCCAAAATTGAACGCACCATCAAGGTTTATCATTTTTCAAAGCATTTGCTTCCAGGTCGTCCTTTCATGGATTTTTTTGCTGATACTAAGTCTTTTATCTTAATGAATTGGATTCAAGGAAGTCTTGAGGAGTATAAATGCTGATGCATTTGATGAGATAAGGAAATGGGTTATTGAGTCTTTCAATGCATTGCAAGGGTTCAAAATGCCGGAGATTACCACTAAAGCCAGTCATTCTTACCCGGTTCTATATACTAACAGCGAAGCTGTATCTCAAAGAAGATTATTCACTGGCCTGGTTCTCACCAGTTAGTCCTAGACTTTCTAATGATTGCACCATAATCTATTGTACTTTTGCTACTAGTGCTTATGTTTTTTATTTTTCAAATCCTTACTTATGGTTCACCTTTCAATCTGCATATGCCGTAATTGATTTACAGAAAATATGGAAATTGTTGATGATATATTGACGTTTGAAGAACTACGTTTACACATGACACATCACGGGTGCCATGTCGCTAATGTTTCATCTTTGGACTTCTGTTCTAAAAATGGCATTGGTGGGTGTCTAAGAAGTTTATTGCGACAGTTTCTTTTGGTAGATGTTGATGTAAGTTGGAAACTTAGAAATATGACATTTATTTGGGCCTTTAAACAATGTGCTCACTAACAATAATACTTGTTTTACTCTTGTTCCTAAGGCAGCAGATATTTCCCTTTTAGCATCATGGTATGCCAAGGATGGAAACTGTGAGAAGCCTTTAGTTGTGATTATTGAGGATCTGGAGAGATGTTGCGGTGCTGTCTTGTCAGAGTTAATCATTATGTTGAGGTAAATATCTACACTAGTTCGTGGCACACCTTTACCAAGCTTATATTCTTAAATTTCTGACCAAATTAATAATTAGTAAGTATTTCATCTGGAGATATCATGTATTCTGCCTTTATTTCTCAATTCAATAAAGGACCTATCAAATATCTTCTTGAAATGAAATCATCACCAGAATATGTACACACTCATTTAAATATTTAAAGTTCCCTTATACTCTGTCCGATATGTGTAGGTGCTCAACTATCATGTTTAGAACAATATATTGTTTACATGACATGGTAGACATAAGACATAATTGATCTGATTGCTTAAATGACGTCTCAACATCTGTTTGTAGTCTATTTCATGCTATGTCATGCATATTTTACCGCATGTCCTTATCCTTCTATCTACTGACAGTGAATGGGCAGTTAAGATCCCAATCATCTTAATAATGGGTGTTGCAACGAATATTGATGCCCCTAGAAACACACTTTCTTCACATGCACTTGGGTGTCTATCTGCAAGTGCATTTGTGTTGAAATCTCCACCCGAGAGGCTGGATTCAGTAATTGAAGCTGTTTTTATCAAGCGTTGGGCTGGCTTCAGTGTTGGTCACATGGTTGCAACTTTCTTAAGGAATTACTTCCTAAGACAAGATGGGACACTAACATCTTTCATTAGAGCTTTGAAGGTCTGTAACCATGTTCCTTAAATATTCCCTTTGGATGGAGCTCTCATAATTTTGACTTGCAATATCTTGTCATGATCTAATTTTATATCAATTAGTATTTGTTAATTATATGATGCAACACTTGCCTTGCAGATTGCCCTTGTTCAACTATTATCCGTGGAGCCTCTCAGTTTTACGTTGAAGAGATTAGTTGATGGAGAAGAAGCTAAGGTGTGAATTTCTTTGCTTTTGCACTGGATTTGTTTCCTCAAGTATTCCTTTGACATGCTGATATGGCTGTTTTATGCATAACCAATCCTATGGTTTTGTCTTTTGATGCTTTTGTTGCAATAGAATCATGGTAAAATGATCCCCACTAACTAAAAGGGATGTTTGAATCAGCTAAACATGGAAAAGTCACACTAGCTTCTCGCTTGATTATTTCTTTCTTTCCCAAAGCCTTATTTACCCCAAGTACTTATCTTCCAATTGGCCCAAATACTTCATACTTTCTTTTTAGTCATTACTATATTTATTACTTCCTTTGTCCCAAAACCCCATTTCTTTCGGCCCCAAGCACTTTTTTCCATTGTGAACAGTACTGCTCACGCATAGAACCTCTTTTGGAGCCCCTTTCCCTTGCACGGAACACTCCACAATCTCCCTCATCATAAGGCAACCCCAACGGTGCCTTGTTGTGACTTGTGACTGGGAATTTCCATGCACGCCACCATGTACTGCTGCTGACTGCCAAGATTTCACCAAGTGCCGGCATATAAAGAAATTCTGGCCACTGGAGTTTGTATCAATAGCCATTGTTCAGGTTGCCCAGGCCTTTTTTCTTCATTGTTGACTCAATTTGATCAATTATTTCAGTAGACATAATAGGGATTGCTTTTGGTTGGTCTCAAGGCATTGTGCTTTACTGCTCTGGCACAAATTTTATCCCCTTTAGCCGCAAAGATGGTATGTTCTGATGATCCTCCACATATTTTAAGTCTTCCTCCACCTGAATTAAGTCCTCAATCTTCTAGTCCTTCTATTATCTCTACAAACACAACAAGAAATATTACCCCAATTGTTCAAAATCTCTCAGGGAATCCAGTTATCATCAATGAAAAATTGGTTGGGTCACACTAGGCACAACTATAACTCCCGGTCTTCTACTGTTAAGTATGGTTTATGGGCCAAGGAGTTGTTGATCATTTAACAAAAACAGGGAGTAAAATTTTAACAATCGAGAAAGCTGTGCATGGTTTTAAAAGGCAAAAATTTGGTCCTCCTCGAGACTGTGAGGTGGTAAGGCGGTCGCATTTAGCCTCAGAGGCCTCAGCCGGGATACATGAGGCGTACACCCCAAAATGTTGAGGCGGTCCAAGGCGTAAGCCACAATTTTTTAATAAAATTTTCAGCATTAATAGGGGTTATTTTTAAAAAGCTATTGGACCTTTATTAAAATATTCTCTTGGGCCTGTGCACTGTACAATTTCCTTAAAAAACTTAATAAACCTAGTAGATAATTGACACTCCTCTCCCAGACTTCAGCGTCACTCTCCCTCCTTTAAATTCAGGTCAAACCTCAAAGAATGATATAACTTTATTTTTGTGTGAAATGTTATCCATATTTTATATTTATGAGGGTTAAATATGTAGTTGAGTAGTGAGAAACTGGGAAACTAAGAATTTTAGTCCTAGACATTCATCATGAGCCATTATAATTTTATTGCCAGTCTATTTTGCAGCCTTCTTTTGTTTTAAATGAAATTTATCACTTATTTGATATGATTATGGATTACTCGTTTTCTTTTACCTCTGAGTACATTTTTTAGTATTATTTTTTCAAATTAAACTTAGGCTTACACCCTGTTCCGCCTTGAGGTTTATCCCTCAAGGCAAAGGCATTTTGCTCCATCGCTTCGTGGCTAGTTTTCGCCTCTCAAAACATTGGCTGTTTGGGAGAGAAGCGATGCTCAGTTGTGTAATTTGTTATGGCAGACTCTTTGTTTTGTGTTGATGCCACTCTTGAGACTATTCAAGACCTGTGCCTAGATATGGGACCAAGCACAAAAAAATGTACGCTAATGATATTGCTAGGTTGTATATGGATTGAAACAACTTGAAGGAAGAAGGGTTGAGTATCAAGACTCTTCATGGAAAGGCACTTACTTTTCTAAGTTCTTTTGGGATTGCTTTGAGCCTTTGACTCCATATAACTTCTGAGTTCTTCTCGCACTCATGATGGATGGCATTTCAAGCATCCTATGCATTTCTAAACCCTCCGCCAATATGTTCTTCTGCACGATGAATACCTCGTTTAAAGATTTTGTTACAAAAATGCAAAAGCAATTAGAAACATGTTGTCGTTTCCATCCCTTTCCACTGCACATAGCAGCTGTTCTCCAAAGGGCATCTTTAAAAAGCATCCATCAATTCCAATGATAGGCCTGCAACCTGCTAAGAACCCAGATATAAGAGCATCATATGCAAAAACATCTTCTCAAACACAGGAACATTATCCTTGTTTAGAGGGCATCCAATCTTGATATATGCTCCTGGATTATGCTTTATCACATTGGCACACTAATCCCAGAGCCTGGTGTATTGCACTCCAGCATCTTCATGGATTAGTCTGAATGCTTCTCTCCTAGCCCTTTGTGCCTTGTATTCACAACAGTTCACTTTGATATTTGAAAAACTCCAGTCAGCAAGAGTTTGTTAAGGCTCCACGGGTACGTCCTTGACATGTTGTGTGCCTCTGGGCATTTCATTGTCTTTATCTGAAATGTAGGACCACCTTGGACCCATGATGCTCTTACTCTCCAATTGTCACAGTTCCGGCACTTGACTATGACTCTATTCTTTTCATTCTTCTTAATCTCTAATGACCATCCTGTACTCATTGCCATTCTTGAACTTCAGCAAAGGTGCTAGTACAAACTTTTCATCTCAGAATCAGCCTGAACTCAAGACATTTTTGATCATCTAGACAGCAGAAAGAAGAAGAAGGTCGGTGAGCCTGCATGTCACTGTTGCTTCGAGAATGAAGAAAAATGAGGAAGCCTGTGATGAAGAAAGAAGAAAACTGTATGACATAACCTGTGACTCCAAGAGGAAGCCTGCGACTCAAGGTGGAAGTCTGTGAAAGGCTTCGAAGTAGAAGAAGGCTGTTACTACGAATAAAAAAAGGTTCGGGAAAACAGTGACTCTCACAAAGCCTGTGACTCAAGGTGACAGATTGACTGGACTATTGCTGCAATGGTGCACGTCGACAGTGTCTGAGTGGCGCTTATGATATGGCCTCTTAATAATGTAACCCTAACTTTTAAATATCAAATTAAAAAAAAGTTAATGTTTGCGAGGCACACTGCTCCTGCGCTTCAAGAGCACCACATAATGTGATGATGTACAAGTGGGCACACGCCACATGCATCAGGGCCATCACCCGCATCACAGAGCATAATGCCCAGCCTGTTGCGCCTCATGTTCATCGCCCCTCAGGCGTGCCTTTCATAACTATGGGCATTCGGGATAAATGATTGGCTCGGGGTATGAATCATTGAATCCAATGGATTGTACAGATTGTTAACATCCTTCTTATCCATCATTTATTCAGCCACCATCACACCATCTCAAGCCCATGATCGTCTTGGTCATCCAAGTTTCAATAAACTATGTCACATCTTGTTCCAAAACTTATCAAATGTGTCAAGTTTTAATTGTGAGTCATTCCAATATGGAAAACAATCTAGGGTGTCCTTTTATAATCGAGCCAATGACAGGGTTAATTTCCCTTTTCTGCTGGTTCATAGTGATACCTGGGGACCATGTAGTTTTCCTTTGATCTGGGTTTTGGATATTCTGTAACCTTCATTGATGATTTCTCGTTGTACTTGGGGTTTTCTACTCAAAAAAGGTTTGAGATGCCTAATGTTTTCCAAAAATTTCTGAGTGAAATAAAGAGTCAGTTCGGAGTCTAAATTAAAACTGTGTGTAGTGGTAATACTCAAGAGTATTTCTTTTGGGCCCTTAAATGATATTTTGAATATCAAAGGATTTTTTTTATGAATCTTCATGTTCTGGAAGACTGGAACTCCATAACAAAATGGAGTTGTTGAACTAAAGAAACGACATCTTGTTCAAATGGCTCACACCATGCTACAAAGTTCACCATATTTCTGGGATGATGCTATTCTTCATGCTTGTTATCTCATAAACCACGTGCCTTCATCTGTTCTCCATAATCAAATACGGAGTACCATATATTCTCCTTTTTCCAAATGGACGTCTTTATGTACATAAAATTTTTTAATGTGCATGTTTTGTTTTAGATAATACTTCTTACTGCTATAATTTTTTTAATGTGTTTGCAGGATACTCTAGGTTTCGGGGGGGGGGGTGTTAGTGTACTGATTCGTGCTAGTTTTCTGTCTCTCCTGATGTAGTCAACCAACCAAATCCAGGGGTCCTGCCCGATGTACTTCCTGTGCCTATGTTCAATACCTACTAACCCAGAAGATCATTCAGTGTTAATCTCTGACCATAGTTATCACGGCGTCGCCTAGTCGTCGCCTAGGCGACGCCTAGGCGTCGCGGCGCCCTCCGGATCTCGCCGTGATGATTCGACTCGCCTAATTTTCAATTCCTCGCCTAGGCGTCGCTTTTCCGACGACTTGGCGTCCTGGCGCAACGCCTTTGTCGACTAACGCCGTAAACATAGTAGTCAAATTCAAGATCTGGATCTTCTAATTCTATATCCCAGATCGACTTAGGGTTTGCTGCGAAGAAGACCATACGATCCTAGATCTTCTCCGATCAGATGCGAGAGAGTCGAGGGTTAACATTCGAGAGACAGCCGACCCGACCCGACCCTTTAATTTTGACGGAATTCCCAGCGGCTAGCACTATTCCCGTAGGACTTTAACTTTGTATTTTAGGCTTTTCAGCTTCTCTTAATTCCCCAGCGTTTAGCACGCCCTATTTTTCCTTTAAAATTAACCTTTTTATATTTTCTATTTTTGAAAAAACATATAATATAATATAATACTCTGTAAAATAAAATGTAATGTAATGTAATGTAATGTAATGTAATGTAATGTAATGTAATGTAATGTAATGTAATGTAATGTAATGTAATGTAATGTAATGTAATGTAATGTAATGTAATGTAATGTAATGTAATGTAATGTAATATAATATATATATTATATT